GCCTACTTCTTGAAGGGTATGGGTAAGATGCCTCGAGGCGCTGCTGCTGAAGAGCCGCCCAAGCCAGCAAAGACCAAGAAGCCGACGGTTAACACTGCGCAAAAGGCCAGGCGTGAGTCGCGCGTTGCACCGCCCAACGTCAAGTCTCCCGCTGTCCCCACGCCAGCTGCCACATCACCACAGGCTGCTTGGCCACTGCAACAAGATGGCACTCCGCTAATTCGTCGTGATTCATCTACTACAGATGGCCGACCAAAGCGCGAGATCCACAGACCTTCCAAAGACTTGCCCTACTCGAATGCTAAGCCCAGAAGGAAGAAGTTCCAGCAGGAGCTCAAATTCTGCGAATCTGTGATTACCGAGCTTATGAAGCCAAAGTACAGCACTCTTACTTACCCCTTTACCTCTCCGGTAGACCCTGTCGCTCTCAACATTCCCTCGTATCTCAAAATCATCAAGAAACCTATGGATTTTGGCACTATTGAGAAGAACCTCAAGAACGGTGTCTACCAGAGTGCAAAGGACTTTTATGCCGATGCCCAGCTCGTGTTCCAAAACTGCTACAAGTTCAACCCCGAAGGTGACGCCGTCAACCAGATGGGCCACAAGCTCGAGGAGCTCTTTGAGAGTCTGTGGAAGGAAAAGGCAGACTGGCTCGCCCAACATGCCCCTCCTCCCGAGCATTCTCCAAGCGATCTCTACTCTGACGAGGAAGACGACAAGGATGAAGAGGATGAGGAGATAGACCAAGCTCAAGCGCAAGCTCAAGCCCAGTTTATTGCTATCCAGCAGCAAATCGCAGCGCTGAATGCCACTGCCCAGCAGCTTCTGCAACAGCAGACGGGCGCTAAGCGTGCCTCGCCCAAGCTACCTGGCAAGAAGAAGAAGGGTGCTGGGCAATCTGCAAAGAGGAAGAGCCTGCCTCTGGCGGTGCCACCTCCGGCCAAGCCCATCAAGAGCGCGCCGGTGAAGAAGGCAAAGGCGCCTGCACCCCTCAGCTTTGCCCAGAAGCAGGAGATTTCCGAAAGTATTAGCACTCTTGGAGATGCTGAGATGCATCGGGCAGTTCAGATTATCCGAAATGGATGCCCGCACCTTGCTAGTGTCAATGACGACGAGATGGAGCTTGACATGGACGAAATCAATGACGACACGCTTAGGGAGCTGTTGAAGTTCATCAAGTCTCTGCGCGGTCCGAAAGGAGGTGCGGTAGCCGATGACGATTTCGAGCCACCAAGACCAGTGTCGAAGCAGACGGCGAGCCGGCCCAAGAAGAACAAGCCCATGGGCAAGTCAGAGCAGGAAGACAATATGCGCAAGATCCAGGAGAAGTTGCAGTCGTTCCAGGGTGGTGCATCGGGATCTAGCCAGTCTCCACCTGGTAAGTTGTCAGTGCTTGATCGAAGCAATCATCCACTAACCTATGCAGTGCACGATGCATCCAGCGACGACGATGAGTCGAGCGGCTCTGAAAGCGAAGAAGAGTAAACCTCTTCGGCACACCCTCTTGTTTCCGCGTGACTTGCTCGCCTGCCATGCTCTGCCCTGCCCCTGTTCTGCCCTGCGTGTTCGATGAATTTGTCCAGCTTCATCCCTTCTCTTCCCTGTATGAATGAACAGCCTTGAGCTTCTTGGTGCGGTTGATCAGGTATCGCCACGGATTACCAAGGGCTGAAGCGGAATGTTAGTGCGTGCTTTAATATCTGCGCGTCCTCATTCACTCACCCATTGCACGTCACCTTTCTCATACACACATACACAACGTTTGTATAGTATTCTCTTCGCGACCAGATCCCCCCCTCGCGGTACCTTGATGATGGTACCCATGCCGACAATGGATTACGAGTGACGACGAGGTTTGTCTTTTGCGCTGGTCCATCTAGTTGAGGACATGGGCTGCTCGCTGTACCCAGCATTTGGCGTGGTGTGGTTGTAGAGACGGAGGACATTTCGAGTAGTCTTTTTGCTGTATGAATACGCTGCGCGAGGTTGGCAGCCAAAACAAAATGCAGATAATTTGTCCAATGTGTCTGTGGCTGCGTTCATTGGTGCGTGATGTTACGTGTTTCTTTAGTCAGGCCTTTGTCTTGTTGAGTACTCGAGACTGGGTCGTAGCCAAGGACAGAGCCGACCGGCCGAGGATAGGGGAGAGATGCTGACGTTTGTAGAGGGTGAGTGAGTGACGTAGAGAAGGGTGGTATGTAGCAACCATCGTGTATTGCTTTACTGTTCGTCGTTGGATGCGTTGGGCGCCTGCATGAGCGTCTCGTCAGGGGGCGAGGGAGTAGTAGCCGGTGGTTGATCAGGCAAGCCAGTACCGAGGGGTTACGGGGTGGTGCAAAGACCAGTCCCTCAGGACGGTCGTGTGTAGCGCTGTGCATGAGGAGTGCGTCCTAAGAGAGTGGGGGAACCAGATACTGTACGCTTTGTCGCTGGCTCTGCATATGCGTCGTGTAAGCGTCGTGTGACGGCAGCGGACAAGCGGCGCCAGGAAGAGGGACGTAGGGCTCGACAGTCGGGGACGCATGCAGAAAACAAAGTTAGGCTAGGAGAAGCAGGGGCGATAGCTTGGACAATCCAAGAAAAGCATATGCTGCAATGTAGTGAGAGAGAGGGAGAAACAGTGTGTGTGTTGTCCGAGAATAGTGGCTGTTCTGTCTCTGCAAGCGGAGGTGGAGGGTGGGGAATCAGCGGGTGCCCTGACTTGAGTATGTGCGTGCGAGTGCTGAGCGGTCGGCGCGCTAGCTGTGCCTTTCGCGAACTGCCCATGTCTCGCCCAAAACTTCGAGCTCCATAGACACGCCAAACACGACGCGCCCAGCTATATCCACCCTTCACGCCACCCGTCACCCTCCATTCAACCTATACCGGCCCTCGTTTCAGCACACCCGTTTCACCTACAACATAATTGAGTGTCTGCGACTGCCAAAATGACAACGGTGCCGGTCAGCGAAGTTAAGAGCACACATGATCGCTCCTCAAGAACCGCAGCGCATTCCCACATCAAAGGCCTAGGCCTGTCAAGTGATGGGCGTGCGACACCCTCGGCCGGAGGCTTCATCGGCCAGGCTGCAGCTCGAGAGGTACTTGATGGCCCGCTGTTTACTCAATCTTGGCGCTAACCTGCCCAGGCATGCGGTCTAGTCGTCGACCTTGTCAAGGCAAAGAAGATGTCTGGCAGAGCTGTGCTGCTCGCAGGTGGACCGGGAACGGGCAAGACTGCACTAGCATTGGCCATAAGCCAGGAACTCGGCACAAAGGTCCCCTTCTGCCCCATTGTCGGCAGTGAGATCTACTCTGCAGAGGTCAAGAAGACCGAGGCGCTCATGGAGAACTTCAGAAGGGCCATCGGTGCGCATTTCTTCCCCTCTTTCTCCGGTCAAACTAACACTCAGCCACAGGTCTGCGCGTCAAGGAAACAAAGGAAGTTTACGAAGGTGAAGTGACCGAGCTCACTCCAGAGGAAGCTGAGAATCCACTCGGAGGCTACGGCCGCACCATCTCCCACCTCCTCATCACACTCAAGTCTGCCAAGGGCACAAAGAAGCTGCGACTCGATCCATCCATCTACGAGGCCATACAGAAGGAGCGCGTGCGCTTGGGCGATGTCATCTACATTGAAGCCAACACAGGCGCTGTGAAGCGCGTTGGGCGATCAGACGCTTACGCGACCGAGTTCGATCTCGAAGCAGAGGAGTATGTGCCTATACCAAAGGGCGATGTGCACAAGAAGAAAGAGATTGTCCAGGACGTTACCCTACACGACTTGGACGTTGCAAATGCACGGCCACAGGGAGGTCAGGACATTATGAGCATGATGGGTCAGCTCATGAAGCCAAAGAAGACTGAGATTACAGAGAAGCTGCGGTTAGAGATCAACAAAGTTGTCAACAGGTACATCGATCAGGGAATCGCAGACCTAGTACCCGGTGTTCTCTTCATTGATGAGGTTCATATGCTCGACCTCGAGGCTTTCACCTTTCTCAACCGCGCGCTCGAGTCGCCCCTCTCGCCCCTTGTTATTCTTGCCTCGAACCGTGGCAACACGCACATTCGCGGCGGTACAAACCTGCCTCCTTCGGCCCATGGTATCCCAACGGATTTACTTGCACGACTCCTTATCGTTCCCACACATCCGTACAGCCCGGCAGAAATTAGCTCCATCATCACCACACGCGTTACGACGGAGAAGCTCAACATCTCGCCAGCGGCAAAGGACAAGGTCAGCTCATTGGGCGAGAAGATCAGTCTGCGGTATGCGCTGCAATTGCTAGCGCCTGCCAGTGTACTGGCCGAGGTGAATGGACGGGAGAACAAGCAGATTGAGGTTGAGGACGTAGAGGAGTGTCAGGATCTGTTCTTGGATGCACGAAGAAGTGCAGAAGCATTGGGACAGGCAAGTGGGTATATCTCGTAGGTGCTATGTTGTCGTTTGTACAATAGCCCGGCGTTTGGATGCAGAGGACGGTAGGCGTTCCTCAATCATAGGGAGCAGTGTTTGTTTGTTTTATACTATTATCAAAAGGCTAGACGATATTTGCACTGGATAATACGATGTTACGGCACATGAGTTGTACCATGGCCTACCAAAGAAAAAGAAAAGAATGGTGATGATGCATGGCAGCAGTGAAAGTGTAATGTGTAAATACATAGCGCGGGTGAGCAGCCTTGGGGAGATGTTGGTATATCTTGACTGGTGGAGATGTCGACTTGCAAGGGTAACCACTAGGTGAGATTTGATCTGAATGACGATAGAAGATGTCATAGAAGCGGACGCTAGATCTACGGACAGGAATATTCTCGAGCTGTGGTTGCACACGACAATAATACTATGTAGGGAGCGTTTAGACTGTCGGGGTATTACGGAAGGAGTTCAGATGGCAAGAACAGGTTCTGCCAAGGACACACGGCTTCCGTTGCCACTCAACGGCTCCGATTGGTTCCGTCGGCTATATGCCCAAAAGCTACATGAACAAAAGCTGTTTGCCTGTTGACTCTTCGCAACCACGACCGGTTGTACACACACATATATCAAGAACCTTGGTGCAAGTCACTACTGTCGCAAAGATCGAACCAAATCCGCCTCGCTACCTACCATAATGTCTACCGCGATGCGCGCCTTGATGCGCCTACCTCGGCAGCTGTCCCGGCGCTCTTTTGGCATGTCTGCACGCACTGCACAGTCACCGTTTGGCTCTGGACCTTCGCCCCCACGCCTACCCAAAGAGGAGCAAGAAATCTTCGAGAAGCTGCAAAAACAAAGCACTGGAGCCTTTAGCACGCCAATAGGAAGCGAGGAAGAAGCAGCGCCGTCGTCCAAAGCAAACATTCGCATACAAATCAATCAATCGCCCGACTCTTCTTCTTCCTCGTCATCGCGCCCGCAAATCAATCAGTCGCCCGACTCATCAGCAGAGCGAGAGATTAGGTTCGAGAATGGCAAAGAGATTAAAAAGGGAGAAGAGTTTCATCCCAACATGCGAAGGGGTGCACCGCCAGAGTTTGAGGGCGATGTCAATCCCAAGACTGGAGAGGTGGGTGGACCGAAGAACGAACCATTGAGATGGGGGCACGCAAGCGACTGGAGCTACAATGGAAGGGTGACTGACTTTTAATCGCGCAAAGCTATGAAGGATGGAGGATCTGACGCATGACCCGACGTGCTGGATGTAAGTAGATATAAGTAAGCGTAGTATTAATTAGTCGATAAGACTATTATCATACAGAGTTGGGAGCAATGTTAGGCCGAGTCACATGGTGATATGCTCGCAGACCAAAAGTGTGCACATGTCGGTGCGGAAAGGTAAAAAAGGTCAACCATCAGTCTGCATAGCTAAAGAGCAGGCTCAGGTGGAGATGCACGTGTGGCATACATACACGAGCCCATACGCAGGCGCGAATGACGTGGCGGCGAGTAGAAGAACGAGTTCCAGAACGTGGACACGAGGGGGAAATGCTCCGGGAACGGGGCGTTCCAGATGAGGGTCGAATAGGTACACGAAAAGTTATTTTGGGGGTTCCTGCTGATAGCCGAGCAGATAGTATAGCAGGCTAGTCGCTTGGGCGGGGGTGCTCGGTCAACACACTATGGCATTTCTGCGCAAGGATGGGGCTTTGAAGAGAGCGATTTACTCGACCCTTTGTTGCTTGTACCATACCTCAAGGACAAATGGGCGCACCCGGCGAGTGTGACATGCAAGGCCGTTTCATGCTAACGGCATAGGGGCTATGTGGCGCAGCGTGAAGCCGTGGTTAAGCATTGGCTAGTGGCATAGTGGCTGTCTAACCACGATGGCCTGAGCCCGTGCCCTTTTCGGTTTTCGGGGTCCATGAAAGCCTCTTCCTCTCTCGTACTTAGACACACATGCGTACGTACTTCCATACGACCGGCCCGTCCATACGCCCTCATCTCTCATCTCTCGGCTGCTTCGGCTTTCGGGCGCGTATAAGTATACAACAGCATTTTGCACACTCAAAATGGGCATCTATACCCGCACTCAGATGCCTGTGTGTTCCTGCTACGTTTCAGGCAACCTAGCAGCACTCGCCATGTGCACATTGGCGAAACGCTCTACTCGTCTCGCCAGCAATCCCATCCCTGGAGCGATCATGTTTTTGCTTCAGGTCGCGACTTGGGCTGCAGGTCCCACATGGTGCCCATATTAGCTGGCCAGAGTCTTTGCCAGCCGTCTGCTGCGGATCTTTCCCACTGTCTGCCCTCGCAGTAACTAATGCGTGTTTCTCCCTCTCATCTAGATCCCGCACCCCCCACTCGCCTTTATCCGCTTTCCCCCTGAGAGCCGCCAGAACGTGGGCAAGAACTATTGAAGCCCCGGGCCCTTGACACACACAAACTGTGTTGATCACGTACTTGTGTGTGCTCTAGTAGTAGTCGTCTTACTGCAGTATACGCATCTCGGGCTCTTGTTGGTGCTCATGGTGTTTCCTCGGTGTAATTGAACTGTCAGCTCACGCTATTCGTTGTCGGTACTTTATCCTAGTCTGACACCACTGGCCCTGCAGTGCCTAACCCAGGAGTGCCTGGCTGCTTCAGCCTCATGCACACAACGCGCAACAAACCGCCCTGTCACAACAACTCACAACCCCCAGGGTCTGGCTCCTGGATTCCGGCATCGTGGGTTAGCGTGGTGCCGACACGACAGGAATTGCCTTGACAAGATGTATTGTTTTGCATTAGCGGAGCTGCGTACGGGCGCCTCGACTCGTCGATAACGTCCATTGCTTGCCCATCTGCAGCCGACTACAAAATCCTCGGCTCAGCCACCCTCGTGTTCGTGTGTGCCAACGCCAACATCAAAATAATCCGTGCCCATGGTATGTTACATTCACTATATAGCGTCCATCTGAAATCTCACGCCCCGCCAATGGCTTGCTAACGCCTCGGTCACAACCAGTCTCTTGGTCACAATTCCCCTATATGACCCTCTGATGCTGTCACCCGCTTTCTTTTTTGCCCGTTTCTTCTCTCCTATCTAGAAAGATCTACAACTCCTAGTCCCCCTGCGTTATAGCATCGTCACCATCACCGGAGATCCGTATCCATTCGGCATCATTGGCAAGGATATCGCCGAACACGGGCACCTTATTTGGGATATCCTTTGTCTTTTGACTGGCCTCGCTCCCTTTTCGTACCACAGCAGCACCAACAAGAACAACAATGTTGCGCCTACTGCTTTGTGTGGCCTTCTTCTTCCACAGCGTTCTTGCTCTGGACGAAGTCGTCGATCTTGGATATGCAAAGTACCGCGGAAAAAGTATCGGCAATGGCGTCATGCGCTGGGCTGGCATGCGATTTGCCCGCAGCCCCTCGCGGAAAGAGGGTCTACGATTCGCTGCTCCACAAGATCCAGTCAAGGAAGATGGCATCGTAGATGCGTCATCAGTACGCTATCATCTTACTTACGTCAGATTCTGGCAGGCAAGCTAACAGAATGACAGTTTGGACCCTTGTGCATCGGAACCAGGAGCGACCTCAACGCTGAGACAGGAGGAACCCATGCTGAAGATTGCCTCTTTGTTAATGTCTTCTCACCCAGTACAGCAAATGACACGAGCAACTTACCCGTCTATGTCTTCATCCAGGGCGGTGGCTTCAACATGAACGGCAATGCAAACTACAATGGCGCAGACCTGATTGGCGCAGGTGACAATGGAATCGTCGTCGTAAACTTCAACTACCGTGTGGGTCCATATGGTTTCTTGGCTTCAAATGAAATTGCGACAAACCAGAACTTCAGCTTGAACAACGGACTCAAAGATCAGAGACAAGCCCTCAAATGGGTACAAGCTCACATCCAGCAATTCGGAGGTGATCCTAAGCATGTGACGATTGGAGGCGCAAGCGCTGGTGGAGGCTCAGTCGTATTCCAACTTACAGCCTATGGCGGTCGGGACGATGGTCTCTTCCATGCTGCTGCCGCCGAGTCTGCAGCTTTCCCATCTCTACGTGACGTCAAAGATAGTCAATGGCAATACGACGAACTGCTTCGCCAAACAGGCTGCAAGGATCTCGATTGCATGGCCAGTATGGATACTGTCACCTTCCAGAAGGCTGTGCGCGCACTGCAGAAACCCTTTCCTGGCGGCGGTGGCCCACCTGTATACTTCTGGAACCCCACAATCGACAACGATTTTATCAAGGACTTCACATTCAACGAACTAAGGGCAGGTCACTACGTCCACGTACCCACCATCTTCGGCACCGCCACCCACGACGGCATCAACTTCACACCCCAGAACGTTGTTTCGGTAGCTAAAGCAGAAAGCTTCTTGACTGATAACTATCCTGGCATGAAATGGAGCATCATCAGTCGGATTTGGGGTTCTGACACTGCTATTGCCGCGGGCAACAGTGACCGCTGGAGAGCGGTCACGGCTGACATCTATGGCGCAATTCGATACGCCTGTCCTGGACTCAACATTTCTGCTACATTTGCTAGCGATAAGGAGCACTCTACATGGCACTATAGGTGGAACGTTGGAACAGCGTCGCACGTTGGCGAGTTGTTGCCCATTTGGAACAATTCTACCTCTGCTGCTGGTGTGTTTGTTCAGGCTTACTGGGCGTCGTTCATCAGGACCTATGATCCCAACAAGTTTGCTGCAGAGTTCCTTCTCGCCAAAGGCTCGGAGTTGAAGAGCCCTAATTGGGAACCATACGATGCCAAGGATTCGAAGAGATTGGTTTTCAACGATGACAACAACGTGGTCATGGAAAAAATTGCCGAAGTGGAGCAGAGGAGATGTGAAGACGTTGACGCTCTAGGACTACACCTGAAACAGTAAGTCGTTTTCATATTAATTTTCTGGCAAACGCAAACGCTAACGGACGTTACAGACCCACAGCCAAAGGCGACAGCTCTTCGACACCTGCCACTCCTTCCCCTTCTTCCCCCGCCTCTTCCGCCGGCTCTAGCTCTGGCTCTGGCTCTGGCTCTGGTTCTGGCTCTTCCGCTGGACCTTCTGCTGGCTCTCCCTCCTCACCTCCCACCGGCTCCTATGGAATCCGGAACGCACCATTTTCATTAACATCTTTGATCTTTGCTTCCATTACACTGGGCTCGCTCCAGTGGATCGTAATTTGAACACATGCGCAATGCGATAATAATACACCCTATTAATACTGTACGACTCGATCGTCAGTGCCTTTTTGGATTAAAATCCACGCTTCTCCCTTGAGAATCTGGCCCACTTCCCCCAACTCGGATCTGCAGAGTCTACATAAAGACTTTACTGCACCCGACCATTCGTATACGCCCAAAGAGAAGACAATGGGTATTGTCTAGTACGAAAATAAGATTGTATATTTCGGTTAAGAGTAACACTTAACTGCTGAACTCGATGCTTTGCGTCGAGAGTATACAGAATGATCAGGAGGAAGACGACGAGAATGCAATGGAAGAAACATTGCTAGAAGAGATTTGCATTGAACTACCCGGGCCCCTGGAGAAGAAGACGACCTCCAAGTCAAACAACCTTTTTTCATTTGTCCGAGATGTAAGAGTAGTTGGTCCTTAGAACATTATGGGGGGATAGCTGCGGTTCATCACCGCGCTTGGCATCACTCTTCACCAAAGACGGTGAGGTACTACTGTAATAGAGGAACATATAATACATAGCTAGCACTGCTAGTGCTTGTGGAAAACATGTAGAACATAAACTGTGTACGCTCGAAGTAATAGCATTTTTTATGTTGCAGTCATTGTGCGGACATTATCCAGACGTTGCAGTTTACAGTGTGACTACTCGGGTCTATTAAATTTAAGTTTCGTTTTTTCTGCACATACAAGTTGCTGAAATACCCTCCTTGATTCCGTAAAGATAGTCACATGCAATGTCTATCCCACCGGGTGCATTGGAGCGGATGAGTAGTAAGGGTCGTCGAGTCGAGGGTTGGCTGCAAACAGCAGTCACCTCAGACGCCACTTCCTCCTCTAGTCTTACCACGACTTCACGAGAGTGTGATAGCTCACAATTCTTGTTTGCACCACTCGATGTTCACTAATTGATTTCACTCGGGACTAACAGCACTGCTAACTTTTGTACAAACAACGACAAACATCAGCCTTTTGCTAGACTACAACCCCACGAATCTCGATTACCATTCATGGCGTTTCCCATAGACTACATGCACAAGCTGCCGCGCTACTACGCAACCGCCCTGTCCAAGGAGGATAGGTATACACTCACTCACGGCGAGAAGAACCACAACCTTAAGGAATGGACAGGCTGGGATCTGGTTCGCCATCACGACTCTCGCAGGAACCTCATTCCCCAAGTAATGCCCAAAGTCGAGAAGATGAATGCACTTGCAGATATAGAGCACAGCAAACAATACAGTCAGCGTACGATGGCGAAAGCGAAAGTGAAAGACAGGGTGCTAGACAAGGTGCGTGGAATGTTTCGCGTACCGCGTATCAAGATCACAACTGACAACGGCAAGGAATACCAAGAGTCTACCTACACCCAGTCGATTCATGGCCATCATTCTACTAGCTCATCACCAGTCTGTCTCCTGCCATCGCCCTCGATGAGTCCTTCAACACCATCCCTCGCACTCGATAACAACACAACCGAACACTCACCACGACACCCCCGTCCAAGCAGCAGCAGTGACTACTTTTCGCACCGTCCCACTCATCGAGCTTCCTCAAGCACCCACCGCCGCCACATATCCCCCCTCGCACTCTCCTCGAGCCCACCCTCCGACTCCTCCGTCCGCGTTCGCAGCCCCCTAGCACATCAAGTCTCGTTCCAACCTAATCCAGACGCAACGTTTGATACGTTCCTTGTGCCGCACAAGTCGGGCAAGGGCGAGGTGCTGCATGAGGTGGCCGATGCGAAGAAGAGTGGAGCAAAGAGGTTGAGCAAGATGCCGTCTATGCCGCTGTTGAGGAAGCGGATGGAGATTGATTAGGTGTGTGTATATGTGTTACTTGGGTTTGAACGTTGATGGGGACGTGTTGGCATGTTTGAGAATGCAAACTACTGTATTACGTGCTAGCGCGAGATATGGGAATGCATTTACATGGGAGGCTGTGTAAGTATGGGTAAGTTAGGAATATAGACTTGGCTGCGACAATAGATTGGAACTTTGATAGTAGTACTAGCGCCGCGTGTAGCCCGGTCATCCGTTTGTTTTGTTTTCTTTCCTTTGCGAATGCGACTGGCGAGGCCCGTGTGTATGCCATGTAGTCGGTAAAAAAAAAGGTGGGTGCGTTGTAACTGTTGTGAGGACTTACTAACCTGACCTGGGAAGTCAGGCACGGCTTACCCGATTAGGGCAACTATTGCATGCACTGCGGAAGGGAGGGGAAGCCATACTTAATGTAAAGTATTACTAGAAAAAAAACCATCTATCGTTCTTATAACAAAGTCCATGTTAGCTCTCCACATCCTGCACTCTCTCAAATAATCTCCCTCCAAAACCCAAGACCTGAAAACAAAAAAGTGAGTTGTCCAAGTAGATAGATTCAGGAAAAAAAAAAGTCGCTCAACTAATAAATCCCCACAAGTGTCCTCCTCCGCCCTCGTCCCCCTCACCATCATCAAAGGCGCAGGCCACGAATTCATCGCCCTACCCGAAGGCGACAATGCCACCGTTGCTGATTTTCACACGTAAAAAACATCCCTCCTTTCCCCCCCC